GTTTTTTTGTTTTTTTGTTAGTTTCACATGATGTCATATAGTATGGGATATCCCTTTGGCCAATTTGGGTCACCTGTTCTGGTTCTGTTCCCCCCCAAGCCCCTTTACTGGCAGGACATTACAATACTGAAAAACTGAAATGTCCTTGGGTCCACACAGCACTGCTCAGCAAGGACTAGAAACATCAGTGTATTATCAGCATTGTTTTTCTCCTAAAGCCACAACATAACATCATATCAGACACTATGAAGAAAACTAACTATCCCATCTAAAAGCAGAACAGAACCACAATTAACTGCAATCAGCCCCATGGGAATGACAAGGTAGAGGTCTCAAAGACATGTATGTTCCAATAGATCTCATGTTAATGTGTCAGATATGCTATGAATATCATGAGTTAGGCAAAGACTAAAGAGCTATTTATTGATTGATTGGATTCATAATAGTATTCACATCTGTTCTGTAATCTGCATGAACTGAATCTGGCAAACTCAGATGAGTTTCCATGGGACAGGTGTCTGCTGCAACATGAATTCATGCAAAATTGCACCATAGGTCTAATGTACCTCTTTTGTGCTAAGTTCTTGTATCTCAGTGTCGTCCACGTTTTTGAATGCCTTCCAAATGACACAGTTAACATCTGTCAGGTGGTGTTTGTTCTCCTTCCCTCCCCAGTGGAACAAGTGTCTTGTTTTATTTTTACTGTATTTATATGAGAAGAGACAAAACCAAAAGAATGTGCCTTGCAGGGGGAGTATAAGACAGTAGTGAATGCTTGTGGTAATCTGTGGTTCCTGTGGGAATTCACTCCAGAGTCTCACATTAGCCTCTGAGAAGGTTCAGTCTCTTCTGTCCAGATGAACTGTCCTGCTATTGCAGAAAGCTTCATAGCATTAATTGTGGTTTGCCTCCCAAAAATGTAGCTAATCTTTTAAATGCTCTCATCCAAGCCACAAAGATCTCTGGAAACAAAAGATGAAAGCCATGATTCTGTACAAAACTTGAACAGAAAGCACTGGAAAGGTTTTGTGTTCACACACTAGCTTGCCGTATTGATGGAATAGACTGCAGAGTTCTGGTGTACTTGGAATTTCCTAAGTGTTAAAGGCTTTATGCCCAAAATATATCACATTTCTATAGCTCAGCCAGAAGATGAGGAAGAAGTGAATTACTGTGGCTTGGTCATTGCCAGGATGGGATAGAGTTACTTCACCAAATGGAGATAATAAAAAAAAAAAGTTATTAACAGATGTTTTCATATGAGAGCTCCAAATCAGCTCTCCAAGGCATCCAAGAAATATTCCTTAGCTGTGAAGTATAAAATGCACGTGTACCTTTACCACAAAAGCACGGCTGCAAACTGTAGGAAGACTGACCCTGCCTTGCTGAAGCAGAACATAATCAGTCATCCTACATGTATGCATTGTTAGCATTACAGATGTGAAAGCTGTGTGCAGTTGGACTGGATGATCTTGAGGTCTTTTCCAACGTTGGTGATTCTATGATTCTATAAGTCTATGATTCTATAAGCATGCTGGCCAGGGCATGATTAGAAGCTTCCAGTTCTTTTTTAGTCTGTACATACACAGTGGTAGAGGTCTATCCTTTGCAGCATCAGTCCTTACCTGAGCGCTGACTGTCAGAATCCCCACTGCCATATGATAAATAGCAGATTCTTTACCCTGCATCAGGAGCAGGATGAATCTATTCCTCTAATAAAGAATATTCTGGTTCCTGTAACTTTGCATCTTATTGTAAACCACTGTCCCTTTCTTATACTTTTTGTCAGCAAGGTCACTAGGCAGTAAGTAAGCAAGGTTCCAACACCTGCTGGAGGCACAGTATTCTCTCAGAAGAGCATATGAAAGAACACCTCACACTGGTTATGGTCCCTGCATTGGTTTAAGAATGCCAAAAGCTATCTCTGTCACAGGCAGACACGTTGGTGTCACCTGACTAAAATACTCTTTGTTGTAATCGTGAGCCAGACAGTGGAGTGAAAGGCAAAGAGTGATGAGAGTTTTCTGAGATGAAAATAAAGAAGAGGTCTCTCAGAGAATCAAATGTGTTTAGATGTGGTACTCATACAGCTTGTTAAACTGTTTGAGAAATATTATAGGCAGTCAGAGGAGAGACAGGAAGAAAAATGCAGAAAAATCGGATACACCTCTTTGGCTGTGATGTGACTTAAAGTCAGCCTCAGAGCAGACTGCAGCAATATGAACATATACCCACACATGGGTAGCATGAGCACATGACTGTTAATTGGAGGTTAAAATTGCAAACGTTATTTGGTATCACATCCAGGCCAACTCCGAGAAACTGGATGAAAGGTTCGTGGGTTTTCTCTTGAATTTCTTCCTCATTTTCCCAAACATACTTGGTCTTGACTGAAGACAGATAGGAGGCTGAGGGATGGCCTAATGGCAGCTTACAGCTCTTCAGAGGGAATGGAGGGGAGGATCAGGATGGGGATTGGGAAAAGGTTTTTCACCAGAAGATGGTGGGCATGGGACAGGCTCCCTAGGTCATTGGTCACAGCCCAAAGCTGTTCCAGGAGTGTGTGGACAATACTCTCAGATACAGAGTTTGAATTTCAGGTAATCCTGTGTGGAGTCAGTTGGGTACCCTTTCAACTTGAGATATTCTTTTATATATATATATATATATATATATATATATATATACATAATACTATATTTATATTTATATTTATATTTATATTTATATTTATATTTATATTTATTACATAGTACTACATTTGTAGGGCATCCACAACCTTTCTTGGAAACCTGTTCCAGCACCTCACCACTCTCAGTAAAAAACTTCCTCCTGATGTCTAATCTAAATCTCCCTTCCTTTAGTTTAAAACCTTTGCCCCTTGTCCTGTCACTATCTACCCATGTAAAAAGTTGATTTCCCTCATGTTTATAAATGCCCTATAAATACTGGAAGGCAGCAATGAGTTCTCCCCACAGCTTTCTCTTTTGCAGGCTGAACAAGCCCAGTTCATTCAGCCCGTCTTCTCAGGAGAGGTGCTCCAGCCCCTGGATTACTTTCACGGCCCTCCTCCAGACCCTGTCCAAAATCTGCACATCTTTCCTGTGCTGGAAGCTCTGGACTTGAACACGGCACTCCGGCTGGGGCACTGCCAGGGCAGAGTAAAGGGAGAGGATTATGTCCCTTGCCCTTCTGGCCACCCCTCTTCTGATGCAACCCAGGATATCATTGGTTTTCCGGAATGAAAGTGCACATTACTGGCTCATGTTAAGTTTTTCATCAACCAGGACCTCTATGTCCTTGTCATGCATTGTCAAGAAGGCCAATGGTATCCTGGGGGCGCATTAAAAAGAGTGTGGCTAGCAGGTCAAGAGAGGTGATCCTCTCCTTCTACTCAGCGCTGTGTGTCCAGTTCTGGGGTCCCCAGTTCAAAAAAGACAGGAATCTCCTAGGAGTCCAGCAGAGGGCCACAAAGATGAATGTGTTTCTCCTATGAGGAAAGGCTGAGTGACCTGGGTCTATTCAGCCTGGGGAAAAGAAGACTGAGAGAAGATCTGATAAATGTTTATAAATATCTAAAGAGAGGTGGGAGACAAATGGATGAGGCCAGGCTCTTCTTGGTAATTTGAAGCAAAAGGACAAGGAGTAGTGGCCTAAAACTTGCAAGAGGAAGTTCCATACTAACATGGGATAGAACTTCTTTATGGTAAAGGTAACGGAGCACTGGAACAGGTTGCCCAGAGAGGTTGTGGAGTCTCCTATGGAGATCTTCAAGACCTGTCTGGATGCCTACCTCTGCAATCTATTGTAGGCTACCTGGTTTAGCAAGGGGGTTGGTCTCAATCTCCTGAGATTCCTTCCAACCCATGTGATTCTGTGATTGTGTGATTCTCAGCCACGCTTCTCTCAAGTTCTTTTCCCAGTTTGTATACATATCTGGGATTGCCTTGGCCCAAGTACAAACCTTGCACTTTGCTTTGCTGAGCCTCATTGGGTTCATAAGGGCCCACCTTTTGAGTTTATCAGAGTCCTACTGGAAGTCATCCCTTCCTTCTGCTGTACCAACTGCACTGTTCAGCTTGGCAAATGGCCTCAGGTTGCACCAGAGGAGGTTCCAATTGGGTATTAGGAAAAAATTTGTCCCAAAAAGAGTGGTGAGGCACTGAAACAGGATGCTCAGAGAGATAGGGAAGTTACCCACCACTCCCGGGGATGTTCAAGAAAAAGGTGGATATCACACTGAGTGGCATGGTCTACAGTCACAGGCATGGAGTGATGGATGTTCTAGATGATCTTATTGGCCTTTCCAATCTCAATGTTACTGTGATTCTATTATTGTTATTGGTGTGAAACCTGCTAGTATTAGACAAGGAAATTACCTCTTTCCCTGGAATGCCATGCAAACTAAGGGGGATTCTTATCTAAACAGGTAAGGAGTTTTATTAGGAGAAATGGTTTTAAGTTGAGGGAGGGAAGATTTAGGTTGGGTGCCAGGGGGTTAGGGTTAGGGTTAGTTCTTTACAGAGATAGTGGTGGGGTGCTGGAACAGGCTGCCCAGAGAGGTTGTGGATGCCTCGTTCCCTGGAGGTGTTCAAGGCCAGATTGGATGGGGCCTGGGCAGCCTGGTCTGGTATTAAATGGGGAGGCTGGTGGCCCTGCTTGCGGCAGGGTGTTGGAGATTCATGACCCTTGATGTCCCTTCCAACCCTGGCCATTCTGTGATTCTGTGAAATAAAAACTTGGGGTGAGAAAATTTGTGGGCTGCACAAATTGTGTGATGGGCTGTTCAGGGCAAGGGTCAAGAGGGGAAAGGCAGGGAACCGTGCAGTTACCGTGACCAGTTTTAGGCTCCGACTGCATTTAGGTGGGAGAGCACTATCTGGGCCCTGCCCTGTGCGCAGCGAGGAGGGCACTCCGCGGCCCTCCTGCCTCGGGACTCCGCCATTCGGCTCCGAGCCGCTTCGTGCCGCAGCGAGCCGCTCCGTACTACACTCCCCACAATGCGGCGCGGCGCGGCGGGCGCAGCCTCACTGAGCCCCGGGGCTCGGCCGTGCGCCCGCGCCGGGCGGAGCGCCGCTCGGTCCGCTGCCATGGCCCCGGCGGCGCTGACGGCGGCGCTGCTGGGCGGTGGGCTGCTCTTCGCCGCCTGGCGTTGGTTGCGGGCCGCGGCCCGCCCCGGAGTCAGAGCCGGGGCCTCCATGCGGGGCAAGACGGTGATCATCACCGGGGCCAACAGCGGGCTGGGCCGGGCGGCGGCCACCGAGCTGCTGCGGATGAAGGCCCGCGTCATCATGGGGTGCCGCGACCGCGCCCGGGCCGAGCGGGCGGCCCGCGAGATCCGAGCCGAGCTGGGCGAGCGGGAGGCGGCCGAGGGAGGCGGCGGCGAGCTGGTGGTCCGCGAGCTGGACCTGGCCTCGCTGCGCTCCGTGCGCGCCTTCTGCCACCGCGTCCTCCAGGTACGGCCTGTGCCGGGCCTTGCACCCGACTGGCGCCGGGCTCTTCCTCCCGCCGGCACCCGGGCTGGGGTGGTGCGAGGTGTGGCTGGGAGTAGCGTTCTGGTTTTTTGCTCTGAGACAAGCTGTGTTTGATGTTTTCAGTTGGTCGTACAGCTCAGCCTTGTCCCGCAGCTTAAGGCTCATGGGTGAGCCATGCAGAACTGTGTCCGCGTTGCTGCCTCCTCCCCAGATTCACGCTCGGCAGTACCCGAGTTTAGTAGATGGATAGTCTTGAACATTTCTGCACGTGGCCTGAAAGCTCGAGCTTAAGGAGACGGCCAATCAGTTTTCCACCTTAGAGTCATTTGAGTTGGAACGTACCCTTAAAGCCATCTAGTCCAACTCCCCTGCATTGAGCAGGGACATCTACAGCTCCATCATAGCTCAGAGCCCCATCCAGCCTGACCTTCAGTGTTTCCAGAGATGGGGCATCCACCACCTCTCTGGACAACCTGTGCCAATGCCTCACCATCCTAATGGTAAAAAACTTCCTTATATCCAATCGAAATCTCCTCCTTCTTAGTTTGAAACCATTTCCTATCAAAGGGAATATTCGGCTGAGAGCCTCCACTGGATGCATTCCACTCCATGAGAAGCTTTGGCTGAGACACTCATGAGATGGTCTGCATAGGAAACCAGGCTTAGTGAGTTGTGCAGCTTGGAGAACTGCTTGTTAAGTACTTGACCTATGTCTAGATGCCGTTTTGATAAATAAAAATTGAGACTATATTGCATTGACTTTCAAACAGCTTTTCTAAATTTAATTATCTGAAAAAGCCAAGTTCTGTAGCGGAGCATTGCAGTCTTTCCTTCATACATTTGAATCCAATGATAAGGTCAATCTAATCTTGCTTCACTGTTTTGGGAGAATATGCACATATACAAAATGATATAAAACACTAGAAAAGAAACGCACTGCCGAACCGTTTTGTATTTACTACACAGTATCCAGAAATGGAAATTTATTACTGTCTGTTTATCAGCAAAGCCAATAGAAGTGACTGTAAATGATAAATGGTTGGAGAAGGAGAAAGCAGCACTACAAATACATGCACTGATAGGCATTTTAACCTTCATTTTCTAATTGATCCCAAAAGCAGCTGAATGAAAAGGAATGTAATTTTAAGAAGCTGTTATGTTCAAACTCGTACTAATTGTCTTTTCTGAACCTGTGATTCTTTATTGCACAATTTGTTTTATTTTTGTTGTTGCCTGGTGGATGGTTACTGAGGTTTTTTTTGTGTGTGTGTGTGTGTGTGTGTATGTTTTTGGAGATGAAGAATTCTAAAAAAAATTGTCAGGATAGGGTGAAAAGGACTTTAATATTTTTCAGGATGGGGAAACATTCCCACAGCCTAACTTAGTTTGTGGGAGCTTTCCATTCTGAAAGTACAGGTGATTACGTCTTTCACTCCTTAATTTCATTGCAAAAAAAGAAAAATGGAGGACTTAGGGATGTTGGGGGGCTCCAAGGAAGAATGGAGAAAATGGAAGCAACCTCAGAAGCTACAGGGAGTAGTATTGCCCAACAAAGCAGTGTTTTGTAATTTGTTACGTGCTTGGTCATAATAGTTACGTTAGCATTGTTCACATTACTTGAATTAAGTAATTAAAGTAGCAGTTTCTGAATATATCACAAGTAGAACTTCTTGAAGTGTTAATTCTTGTGAAATAGATTATCTGATCAGATGCTACAAAAGGCAATGTTTTCTAAAGTAAGGCAGTGTTAGCAGATCTACAGTAGGTCAGAATTTCAGCCCTGTCCTTGCTTACTGATAGGAACCATTATGTGCTTTTGGGTGAAGAGAATTGGATTTGATGCTCTTTGATAATGCCTCAGGAATTGTGTGAAACAGTCCTGCAGAAATCAGAGGCTGAAATGCCTCTGAAGTGCGTGATCAGGTGCCAACATCACTGAACTGAATGACAAAGTGCAAATTTGGATTTTGCTCTCTGAGCATCTTTGCAGGTGATGGCAGTCAAATGAAAATAAATAGTATCAAATTAATCTTCAGATTCTCTTTTTTATGATCAGCGTGACCCAAAGTGATCTTTGTCAGCTGGCTCCACATTGTTTTTAAAGAATTGGCATTAAGGAAACACATCCTACTTTTTCTGTTAAGTAAATGTATTTGCTTCTGAGTCATGCAAGCATGAATTCCTGTGATACCTTCATATTCTTGTCAGACATGGGTGAAAGCACTGAATTTGGAATTCGGGTAGGCAGCTTAATCTGATCTATTTTAATTTTTTTAAAGCTGTTGTTTGGGAAAGCTCTTAATTTTTGAGTGGTTGCTGATACGTGAATGTATTGTAAATTATGTTTGAATTATCTGTACCACTTTCTGTATTAATTATATCAGTTTTCTGAACCACAACACTGATCCATCAAATAGCACGTGCTGAGCATATCATAAAAATTTCGAGCCTCCGTCCTGTAGAAATATGTTCTTGAGTATGCCTATTAGATTCAACTTGTTGTATGAAACTTGCTGAGATTAATAACATAATGAACTCTACTTTTCTGTCATGAGTTCTTCTCTGTATGATGCACTAAACATCACAATAAAATGTAGTAATTTTAAGACAGCGATTAAAGCCATGAAAATGCTGTTTTGCAAAGCTTTTTATGACATCTCCACAGTGAGACAGTGGGTCTACGGTTTGACGGTTCCTTTCAGTGGCAGTATTCTTTTGTGCCATGTCTGCATGATGTTTTTATGGTAGAATCCTTGCCCATGACTGGGGTTTGTCAGAAACTATTATCATTAATGTATATGCTTTTGCAAGTAAAATAAACAGGTTACTTTTTAGAGGAAAACAAATGCTTCACAAACATAAATGATTAGCCTGGAGGCGATTGTGTTGTCTGCATACATTATAAGTAAATACAGACCTACTGTGATGTACTGGAAGCCTGCTGGAGTTGAATATTCAGTTTAGTGGTATTTTATTTTTTTTCAGTAATGCTTTAGAAACTGTTGGAAAGTTACCATTTGGAAAACTGGAAGTTATTTCCCTCTAACAGTATATAGTGAGAAATATTAAGCATAATAGTATGTTTTGTGTGACAAATGATTATAAAACTAAATTAATTTTTTCTTTCCTATTTAAAGGAAGAGCCAAGGCTGGATGTTCTGATAAATAATGCAGGGATATTCCAGTGCCCATACATGAAGACAGAGGATGGCTTTGAGATGCAATTTGGTGTAAACCACTTGGGTCACTTCTTGCTCACCAACCTTCTTCTGGGCCTCCTCAAAAATTCTGCTCCGAGCAGGATTGTGGTAGTATCCTCAAAGCTTTACAAGTACGGAGAAATCAACTTTGAAGACTTGAACAGTGAAATAAGTTACAATAAAAGCTTTTGTTACAGCCGGAGTAAACTGGCTAACATACTGTTTGCAAGGGAGCTAGCCCGTCGTTTGGAAGGGACAGGAGTCACTGTCAATTCACTTCATCCGGGTATTGTCAGAACAAATTTAGGGAGACATGTGAATATTCCGTTACTGGCAAAGCCCCTATTCAATTTGGTGTCATGGGCTTTCTTCAAAACACCTCTGGAAGGAGCCCAGACTTCTATTTATTTGGCCTCTTCTCCTGATGTTGAAGGTGTGTCTGGGAAATATTTTGGGGACTGCAAAGAGGAGGAACTTCTGCCCAAAGCCATGGATGACCTGGTTGCAAGAAAATTGTGGGATATAAGTGAAGTGATGGTTGGATTATTGAAATAAGTGCCAGGGATTATATGATAAGGAAAATGCAGATAACTATGCAATACATATTTGGAACTGTAATTCTCACCTTAAATACTGTGAGAACACAGATCTGTATTTAAAAACATTTGATAGAAGAGTGATTTATGCTGGAATTCTGTTTTAAAATAATGATAATCTTTGTGTAATAAGCACAAGCATTCAAGAAGAACCTGGAATAGAGAATGTAACTTCTGAATAAATGTTCAGAAAGTCATGGTCTAAAATAAAAATTAAACAAAACTTTGTTTTGCGGTAAATGTTGCCTATTTGTCATGTTCTGCTACTTTTAGTCATGCTGGACAGTGTAGGGTGTTGATGGTGAAGTGCTCTTCCTGTGAAATGGTTTTACAAATAGAACCTAATACTAAGATCTGTCTTTTTGAGCCATCACAGTGAAATCTGGAGCACAGTTTTATTGGTATCTTATACTGTAATCATTAGGCCTCATGAGTGCCATTCGAAGACTTCTCCACTGAATGCTTCCATGAACAAAACTGTTGAGCTGTATACAGTTTAGCTATGAAGTATGAAGTTACTTTTTGAGTTTAATGTAACTGCTGTTCAATGAATACATACACTTCATTGTGCAAGCTCTATTTCTGTTTTCACATATCCTGAACTTGCTGTTTCTAGATATACAGATGCCTTGGGTTTTATTAAAAACGGTTGACATATCTCAGGAGGGTTTTGCATGAGTTGTGTCCATGCAAAGTCTTCAAGACTTCAATCAGATTAGACTGAAGAGAAATGCTTCTTCATTCAATGCTTCGTTGGATTGACTGCACTTGTAGTAGTGAGATTAGGTAAATCTGACTGATACAGCTTAATGAATATTCTTTAATAAAAATCTTAAAAAAAAACTTAGCATTGATTCTTTCACTATGGAAGATACAACCAGTAGTCTGTGTACACACCTTTAAAAGGTGGAAGATTCGCCTGCTTTACTTTGGGGAGTCTCTGCCACATAGAGGTAGAAATAAAATGCCTGTGTGTAACCAAATAGCTAAATGGATGTTACGTGAATCTGTACTTTTTTTTTTTTTTTTTTTAATTCATGTAATTAATGGGTTCATATTGGCATTTTCTTTTGGGGATGATTCCGTCCAAGGTCTCCTGGACTTTTTGGGGCTCAAGAGCATCTGAAAACATGAACAGGCTGGTCCACAGCAGCAAGACCCAAGTCTGCTCCATGCAAAGTGGTGCTGAGGGTCAGCTGTGAAATACAGCTGCCTTCATCTGCCCTGATGTAAGTGCAGGAGCTTTCTGTGTGAGGGGGCAGAAGGGCCATAAAAGAGCAGCCAGGTTCTGTTGCTGCAATGGCAGCAAGGGAGTTGTTGCACCAGGAGAACAGAAAGGCCCCTGAAGAAACCCAGCTCCCATTGCCTCAACGGGAGTGAGGGACTCATTGCTCCTGGAGGACAGGGAGGCCCCCTGTTAGTGAGTTAACTACTTGCTGTGTCCTTGAGCACTGAAGCTTGTGGAGGTCTGCAGCTGTTGGTAGAAGAGACAGAGAGAGAACAGATGGAGAGACCCTTCCTGATGGAGCCACGGACATGTGGGACCAGGGGGTGTCTTTGCAGGGCACCTGTCTTTGCCCAAGCTGCTCACCTCTGTGATTCTCTGTGTTGCCTCTGCTGCTGTACCTCCTTGTCCTCCCACCCTACATGGGCGCAGAAAGCAGTGAATGAGAGGAGAGCATCCCCAGCAGCCTCAGCAGCACCCAGCAACCCAGGGCACAGCCTGGCCAGGCCCCGCTGGGACACGGCCTCTCCTCCCAGGCAGGACCCCCAGCCCAGCCCTGCGGATGGCCCTGGCACCTGCCAACCCCCCTCCCTGTGTTGCAGCGCCTGGCTCAGCACCAGCCCTGACTCCTACCTTCCACAAGGCCGTCATGAATGCAAATAATGACATGTTCAGCATGATCCGGAGGATGGGATAGAAGATATCGTCATCCTCCAGGCTGAAGAAGAAGCTCATTCCCCAGAAATCAGCCATGTTTGTGATGTACAGAGAGCCAAGCAGTCAAGCTCCTCTTTTTAGTCACCTCATGGGCAAAGTGGTACCCAGCCTCTGGGGTTGTCTCCTTTGTGGTGGGGGTTGCCATGTCACCAGCTGGGGGCTATGGCAAAATTCGTGATGCAGGGGCAGTGGGGTGTGGCACAGCCCGGCCAACTCAGCACAGCGGGGCCATGGCCAGGCCACCCCAGTGCTGAGACCTGGCCCTGGGCAGGGCCACATAAAGCCTCTGCCTCTCACCAGAAAGGACTGAATCCTGGGCCCAGTGCTGTGCTCCCACTTTTGAGAGCCCATGAAGCACTTGTCAGTCCTGATGAGTCCAGCAAAGCAATGATGGCCGTGCTGCTGCTGACATTCCCTTTTCCATTGGAGTCTGTCCTTATCCTCAGTAAAGAGGGCCATCTTTGCTTACTTTATACATTTTTTTGAACTACAGGGAACATTTTCCCCTTTTTCTGGGAATAAAATATACAGAATGTCTTTTGTAATAACTTTGCATACATATTCATTGTGGTTCATAATGGCAGGTGATTTCTCATAGCATTTTTAATCATAAATTTTTATGAATCACAGAACATTTTCCCTTGTAATATTAACAGGGTCGACATCTGGTATTGAGATTTCTCCTGCTGAAAAAGATTTAATGCACACAGTTTATTGTCACTTAAAGACTGGAGATTGCAGAGGCAGCCTTTATAGACACTCCCAAGCTATTTATACATCTTCCACAGCTTCTTTCCAAAATTTTTGTACTATGTATTTCAGTTCACATAATTCATGCGACCTTTTCTTTTTCCTTTTGTATAATAGTTTAAAAGACAAAATACCTACTACAAGAAGGGAATGGCTCACTGTTCTATATAATTGAGAACAAAACCTCTTCCATTGTTCGGTCTCCATAAATGTTCAACAAGCGTCAATGAATGTCAGTAGGTGTGATTTTTTCCACAAGGAGGAATTCAGCGACACACTTCTGTTTCATCCACACTTCCACGACAGATGCCATTCTGTCAGACGGCCCCTCTGCTTCCATCTGTCACAGGGTAACAACATGTAACAGAACATCGGTGGGAAGGTGCAAGGTCTTCTGCCATCCCACCAACATCCACCTCTGGTGTTGTGGGCCAACATCATAAAACAGGAAGCACTTATTTCGGAGCACCCTCGTACAGTGCTTTACCTTTTTAAGTATTGCTCAAGGGAAAAAATATTAATAGCACATTGTATATTCCATAGATCCTTTTTACATACCTTTAAATACATAAATCCAGGTAGCAGCCTCATTTTTGAGATCCCCTCTTTGGTTGTTTACTCAGCCTCCAGGCATGCTTGAACTTACCAAGTGGTCTTTGCTTCTCCTTACCTTTGCCAGCACAAGCCTGGGCGGAGTGATTGGGTAGGAGAAAACCACAACACAAGCTATGAAACCAAACGGGTTTCTAAGATCCTCTGACAGGCTAACCTTTTTCTGCTTATTGTAAGGAGGTTTGGATGGGTGTGCTGTCAAAACATTATCTGAGTGTTGTACAAAGTTCTCTAATACTGAAGAGAGACTTGCAAAATGCATACAGAAGATTCTTCTCTGGTCTTTGCATTTCATATTTTTGTTATAAATACTTGTAAATAGCTGTATGTAGAACCCTTGAAGCAGCTAAATGTGTTCACTAACACATCTGATATGCAAGATAACAGCAAGATGCAATGTTTCCATGAACTGCAGGTTGTCTCAAACCAATAGAATATGATGTACTTCACCTGCCGAAAAACAAGGACGGAGATAAAGAGCTGAACCAAAGTTGGGTTTCTGTTCTCAGTAGTACTACTGTAGCAATACTGAAGTAATACTTCTGTTTTGTTTCAGTGCTGAAACCAACCTGCTTCTCTTAAAGGGAAAGCTTTGGGTGGGAGGTGAAGATGACTGGTCTAGAAATAACAGTGGTGAAGAACTGCTCTTTTTTCAGACTGCACGATCGGAGTATGTTGTACAGAGAGCACAAAAATAAGAGATGTAGAATTATATACACCACCTGTATGTATAGTATGATTGTATAAAATGCAATGCCTACATCTACATCTACCATCTACCAGGTGTTTTATCTTTGAAAATACTGCAGAAAAATGAGCCATTGTCAGAAAATGATTAAATTCCTGTAATCACATATAGATTAAAGCCCTTGTTCCAGAGTATAGGAGTAATTACTTGATAGTCTTAATGAAATATAGTATGCCTGAAAACATTTTTTTTATTTGGTTTTTTTTTTCGTGCGTGTGAAAAAAAAAAACATTTGTTTTTTTTTTTTTTTTTTTTCCCAGCATCCAACTTTATTAATATTTGTCACCTCCAGAGTCTAATGTAATTTGTCTTCGTGCACCAAAAAGATTTGATTACTCTCTTGAGACTGCTGCTACTCTTTATATTATGTTTTTGTTATTGCAGTAGCATCTAGGATTTTGAGACAAGTCTTGCAAAATGTATGCAAGTACAAAACAGAAGATCTCTTAGGTGCAGTTGGTATTCGAACTAGTTTGGAAACAATTTGGCTTAGAAAGTATACTATGCTAAGCTATGTAGGATCCTATTAAGTTCAGGCATTTATCTGTGACCAGTTTTGTCTGGTAAGTAGCTTTTCCTGGAGTTGCTAGAGCAATCAGTATCTCATTCCAGCCAATTCTCACTTTACCCCAGTATTAACACTGCCTCCAGAAAGATGTGGAAGCTTTACGTGTTTCTATTCTGTAAACTGATTAGGAACTGTCTGGTGTCATAAAGCTGAAACTGGGACACATTTTGGGTGCTTCCCTCCACTTTCAGCACCATATAAGCACCACTGCTGTCAAATTAATCTTATTTCTCATTAAGAATTAAATTTGGAAAAAATAAGGAGTGAAAGAGTTAGAGAGTGGCCAGGGATAACATGTAAAGACCAGCGAAGAACAACCTTCACAGATAGGTACTGAGGCTGATCACATTGTCAATAAGTACATCACAGGTATGCAAGAAAGCCATGGCTGAAGTTAAGATTTTGTTGAGGTATTTGATAAACATAAATTTTAAGTCAATTATTTCAAAAGCCAAAACTTACCTTCAGCTATCTTGTGAAAATTATTAGAATTTGAGCATTTGATTGATCCACCAGCACTGTCGGACCAGCAGCGTGTACCTGTGCTGGGGTGCATTCAGGGCATCCTTGTAAACAACTTCCCAGCTTCCCTTGTGGATAGAACAAGAGTTTGAGAAAGG